ATACAAACTGCCATCTCTGTCCCATCTATGTTGTTCTCTGTTCACAAGTCTGTCCCCACCTTTGCCCGATGAGCTTTCTCAGGTCCGAGAGGGAATCACATGAGGTTATGTCATTGGCATGCTACACGGGTCCTGGCATGTAGGTCTCTGTAGGTACACACTACTGGAAGGAATGAATCCAAGGCCTCGGAGTCCTGCCATCACCCTCATGGGGCTGGAACCCAGCAAGGGAGGCCATGGAGCTGGGACGCAGCCCTGTAGGCTGCAACAGGAAATGGAGTCTTTATCCTAGAAGCAGCTCTCACTTACTTAGTCGTAGGCATATGTGCACTGGGCTAAGCACCTGGCATGTTTTCTCAATCACTGTTTACAACTCCCCTAGGAACCTGGTGCCAGTTAGCCCCCTTTCACAGATGACAAACTCCCCACTCACCCCCACCCCACCTGCTCAAGGTCACACAGTTGGCCATGGCAGTTGGAATTTGAACTCAGACCTCAGCACCGGTCGCCTGCCCCCTTCACCTATGCAGGGCCGGGGCTAAGCCCGGACCACTGTGATCTGCACCACACGAGCCGCAAGGCCCAAATTCTATTGTCGCTGCTGGTTGTATCTGCCTCTCTCCAAACTCACACTCAGATTTTCTCTTGGCTGCAGCCGGCCTTGCGGCCCACGGAGACCGCACAGAACCGGCCAGGCGGGGCTCCAGCCCACGTGACCACCAGGCCTCGGAAGCCGCGGGCCGCAGTGCGACTGGCGCTGGCGGGTGCGCCCGGCGGCGCGGAGATCCCAAAGGGACCGACCTGGGGAGCGGCACCGTGGCCGGGGCTGGCCTCAGCGGCCGGCAGGGGGCTCTGTCAGTCCGAGGGCCAGAGACCTAGCCCAGGAGTCCCGCCACCTACATTCACTTCCCTTCCAGCCTTAGAGAAGAGGGAGGAACAGCGTTCATTTCTGATTAAAAATGACTAATCTTAATGAGCTTCATTCTTTATGTCTCTCGGTCGTCTCCCAGGGCTGGAAAGAGACAGAAAACATCTCTGAGAATCCATTCCAAGCGAGCAGCCAAGAGGAGCCGTGGTAGCTCCCAGATGTTGATGTTTTGTTGTGTTTTTTTGACATAAATCTTGGCACTCGTATGGGAGTTTTCATTGATTCATGTTCCCATCTGCTGAATTTCCCTTTATTTATTTAATATGGCTTTTTGGGAAAATCTTCCTCCGAGGCACAAGAGGAGCATAAACCGTTGCAGCCTGCACCCCTGCCTCCCTCGGAGCCTCCCCTGTGGCCAAAGGCAGAGAAAGCAGCAGTTGCCTGCGGGCCAGGGCTGCCGGCTGCTCAGTGCTCTAGGCCTGGCCGGGACTACGCTCCTGCTTGCTGAATCCTTGAATCCCTGTTCCTGGTCCCTGCTACCCACCCACCATCCCTGTAACAACTGCGCCTTCAGGAGCTAACATCAGACATCCTGCAGTCTGGCCTGGAACCCTGCCTTTGCTTTCTATCATGAATTTTCTCTTTCTCTTTTTCTTTTCTTTCTTTCTTAAAGATTTCTTTATTATTATTATTATTATTATTTTTGAAAACCAGTGATAGAGAAAGAGCGAGAGAGAAAGGCTTACTCCCCAGATGGCCACAATCGTGGGGGGCCCAGCCAGGTCAAAGCCAGAACCCAGGAGTTTGAACTGTATCTCCCACATGTTTAGGAACCCATGGACTTGGGCCATTCTCCATTGCTTTCCCCAGACTGTTAGGAGGGAGCTGGATAGAAAATGGAGCAGCTATGATTTTATGGGAAGCATTGCATGCCTTGGCTTAACCTGTTACTCTGGCCCTGCCCAATAAATGAATTCTTTTTTAAAATTTACTTATGTTTATTGGAAAGGCAGATTTACAGAGAGGAGGAGGAGACAGAGAGATGTTCTATTTCTTGATACACTCCCCAAATTACTGCAATGGCTAGAGCTGAGCCAATCCAAAGTCAGGGGCCAGGAGCTTCTTCTAGGTCTCCCACACAGGTGCAGGATCCCAAGGCTTTAGGGCATCCTTAACTGCTTTCCCAAGCCACAAGCAGGGAGCTGAGTGGGAAGTGGAGCAGCTGGGATGCAAATCAGCACCCATATGAGATCTCTGCATGAGCAAGGTAAGGATTTAGTCACTGAGCCATTATGCTGGGCCCCCATAAGTGAATTCTTAACCAAGGTAACTTCGCAAGCTGTAGATCTTCCTGTAAAGTGGAGATAATTACCGTTTGTTTTTCAGGGACAGGTGAGTTTTACAATCAAGGAAACTGAGCAGTTGAGAGATTTGCTCAAATAAGGCAGAGCCAGGCAGTCTCCTAGGTCTTTGCGATCCTGATGCTCTCCTACCTCAGTGTCCCCTCCAGGTTTCTCAGGGTAGACCATCTGACAGACACTGGGTATCTCCTCTTCCATGAGGCCTAGAAAAAGACTGAAAGTTACTGGTTGATAGTGTCTGATACTTTAGAACAATATGCATTTAACCTTGAACTGTAGGGGCAGGCATCCCATACAAGTACTAGTTCTAGTCCCGGCTGCTCTTTAAATTCAGCCTTCTGACAATTCCTCATGGGAGGCAGCAAGTTTTGGCTCAAATGTTTGAACATGTGGGAGACCCAGATGGAGTTCCAGACCTTGCCTGGCTCAGTCTGGCAGTTAATGGACATTTGTGGAGTGAACTGGTAGATGGAAGGTTCTCTATCTCTTGCCTGTCTTCCTCTCATTATCACTCTGCCTTTCAAGTAGATACAAATAAATACAAACTTTTTTTAAAAAGCCACAAAATGAGCCAAACCTGTGACCATAACCCCACATTTGGAGGGGCTCTAGGGTCCCCTCCATCCAGTATCCCACTGAGTCCATGGAGGCCCCCAGGCAGGCCCAAAGAGCCCACCCTGTGCACGGCAGCTCCCCACTCCCATTTGAGGCTGCCTCCAAGTGTTGTGAGAGCCACAGATAATGGAATGGGACCACTAGAGCCTAAGAAGCCATGATTTAGAGACCAAATGCCTTACAGTTCATCGCAGGGCTGTTAGGTTCAGTCCCAAGTAGAATTGATACCAGAAATGACCTGAAGTGTGGACTCACTCCACAACCCTGTTCTTTATAGGGTGCAAATGGAGTGTCCCCTATGTGTATCCTACTTTGGCCGACCTTCAGATGTGTGTGTGTGGAGCTCTGTTTGCAGAGTAGGGTACAGTTGCATATCTGAGACTGTTGATTCGCCCCAAAGCTCACCCTATTGTGCATATGCCTGTAATCTTTCATTCAGGCAAGCTTGTTTTTTTTTGTAATTTCCCTGCATGCTAAACAAGCATGATATCTTTTCATGCAGTCAGTACTTTATGGGAGGTAAGCCCTCAAGTACATTTGCTGAAGAAAATAGGATGGTATAGGAGGATACCTCTGCTCACATGGCCACCTAAAGTGAAACCATTACCTTCATCTGGAACTAAAACCTACTTATTGTTAGTCAAAGTAAGCATGGAAGAGAGTGTCCTAGGAATGGTGGGGATAGTGCAGGGAGATAGCTAACATCCTAATATCTGCCATAATCCATTCTCTTCTCCACAGTGATGGAGCTGATAGGGCTGTGGCTGTCAAGTCAAGGCTGCATTTCCTAGCTTCCACTGCAGCAAGATGTGGCCACATGACTTGGCAAATAAGAGATAAGGAGTCCATCCACCGTGGCCTATAAAACCTTACAAGGCAACCCCTCTCTAACCAGCAGGACCTCGGACAGGGTAGTAATCTGGCCTCAACCATGAACCCTTGAGGTGACCTGTGTGGTTGACACTGTTGCTGTTCATGAGCACCTCCTTAGCTCCTTACATGAAAGAGAAACACCTAGTTGTGTGGTTTTTTTTTTTTAAGATTTATTTATTTTATTGGAAAGGCAGATTTTATAGAGAGGGAGGTATAGAAAGATCTTCCATCCACTGATTTACTCCCCAAGTGGCCACAATGGCCGAAGCGGAGCCAATCTGAATAAAGCTAGGAGCCAGCAGGTTCTATTGGTTCTCCCACATGGGTTCAGGATCCCGAGGTTTTGGGCCATCCTCCACTGCTTTCCCAGGCCACAGTCAAGGAGCTTGATGCGAGGTGAAACAGCTGGGACACAAACTGGTGCCTACATGGGATCCTGGCATGTGCAAGGTGAGAATTTAGCCACTGAGCCATCGGGGTCAGGCCCACCCAGTTGTATTTTTTAAGCCACCAAGTTACTACTGGTTTTCTAGCATTCCAGTTGAATATACCTTAATTAATTGAAATAGAGATTAAATGGTGAGATTAGAGATGAGTCCAGGTCAGATTCCCTAGGCATACATGCCTCCTGCCTCCCGCCCCTCCTCCCACCCCGATGTGGTATCCCTGGGCTACTGATGAACCTTCCTGAGCCTCATCATTAAATTGAGAGGAAAGAAGAGATCACTTATCACAACCACTTAGGAAAGTGATCTGTGGACTTGTCCCTTAAAGCTGAATATGCCCAGAGTCTACAACACAGCAATTACACTATTAATTGACACTATTAATTCTATGACCTAAAGAATTATGGGCCAAAAAATAAAAATTATGGGCTTCCATGCCCCCAAACTCATGTACCAGGATGTTCCTAATGGAACAGGTATTGTGACACAGTGGGTTAAAACCCTACTTGGGATGCCTACCTCTCATGTCTGGAATGCCTAATTTGATTTCAAGCTACTCTGCACTTCCAATCCAGCTTCCTGGCAGGCAGCAGACAATGGTCCAAGTACTTGGGCCCCAGCCACCCATGTGGGAGACCCAGATGGATCTCCAAATTTCTGGCATCAGCCCATCCTAGCCCTGGATATTGCAGGCATTTGGGAAATGAACTAAGGGGTGGGAGATTTCTCTTTCTATATTTTTTGTCTTTCTTTTTTTCTCTATCACTCTGCTTAGCAAATAAAAATAAAAGCATTAAGAAAGAAAACCTCTTTTCATGCCGGCATTGTTCTGCAAACATGGTGAACGTTCCTAAAATGCGCCAGACCTTCTCCAAGAAGTGTGGCAAGCACCAGCCCCACAAAGTAACACAGTATAAGAAGGGCAAAGACTCCCTCTATGCCCAGAGGAAATGGCACTATGATAGGAAGCAGAGTGGCTGTGGAGGGCAGACTAAGCCTATTTTCCAGAAAAAGGCTAAAACTACAAAGAAGATTGTGCTGAGGCATATAGAGCCCAACTGCAGACCCAAAAGAATGCTGGCTATTAAGAGATGTAAACTTTTTGAACTGGGAAGAGATAAGAAAAGAGAGGGCCAAGTGATCCAGTTCTAATCTTCATTCTTGGCTTTGTTATGAATTGAATAAAGTCTTAAAATTATTGTTCACTTAATTTGTTTTTTGGGGGAGGAAATAAACTGGAGCCATCAATAAAATTCCTCTTGGAAATTTGGAAAAAAAAAAAAGAAAGAAAGAAAGAAAACCTCAGGGTTAGCATGTTGGTTTAATAGGCTAATCTTCCACCTAGTGGTGTCGTCACTCCATATGGGCACCAGTTCAAGTCCCTGTTGCCCCACTTTTGATATAGGTCCCTGTTTATGACCTGGGAAAACCAGAGAAAATGGCCCAGGTCCTTGAACCTCTGTACCCACAGGGGGGACCTGGAGGAAGCTCCTGGTTCTTATCTCCTGCAGTTAGATTGGCTCAGCTCCAACCATTGTGGCAATCTGGAGAATGAACCAGCAGATGGGAGAGTTCTCTCTCTGTTGCTCCTTTTCTCTGTAAATCTGCCTTCCAAATAAAAATAATTAAGTCTTTAAAAACAAATAAACAAAAACAAAACTTCAGCCAGCCATTCAAATAATCACTCTTTAAAAAGAGAGGAGAGCTTTTATAATATCCACAGAGGGTAGAAAACATAAATACCTTTCTAGGGTGAATGGAAACTCACACAATGGAGGTCATCAGTTAATTCCAGATATACAAAACAGCACAAATGAATTAATTTCACAGAAATACTCCAAAGATGGGATGAGTATTGTGGAAAAGCAGGTTAAGCTGCTGATTAGGATCAAATCCCACCTCTACGTCCAATCCAATTTCCTGCTAATGCACCTGGCATTAGCAACAGGTGGTGCTCCACATACATGGAGTCCTGCCACTTGTATAGGAGACCTGGATAGAGTTCCAGGCTCTTGGCTTCGATCTGGCCCAATCCTGATTGTTGCAGACATTTGGAGAATGAACCATGAAGGTGAGATTCATCTCTCTGTCACTCCACTTTTAAGTAAATCAGTCTTTTAAAAAAAAAAAGTACTCAAAAGAATAAGTACTGTAGGGCCTGGCGTGGTGGTCTAGTGGCTAAAGTCTTCACCTTGCATACTCTGGGATTCCACATGGGCACTGGTTTGTATCCCAGCAGCTCCACTTCCCATCCAGCTCCCTGCTTATGGCCTGGGAAAGCAGTGGAGGTTAGCCCAAAGCCTTAGGACCCTGCCCCTGTGTGGGAGACCCGGAAGAGCTCCTGGCTCCTGGCTTCAGATCAGTGCAGCACCGGCTGTTGTGGTCACTTGGGGAGTGAACCATTGGATGGAAGATCTTCTTCTCTGTCTTTCTTCCTCTCTGTATATCTGACTTTACAATAAAAATAAATGTTAAAAAAAAAGTACTGTATGATTCCATGTATTTATGTTTCAAAATAGATAAAGCTAAATTATATCATTTAGAAATATATGCATGAATAACAAACTTATAAATAGTTAATGTTTATCACAGATAAAATGTATGCAAAAGATATACTATATATTAATATATAACTGGAGCAATTATTTGCTAAGCCATTATTGCACGTTTTAGACATCTTCTGAATGTCCATTGTATTTCACAGGTAGTTGTTAACATCACTCACCTGGTAGGTTTGCATGAGAACTGAATGAGACAATGCATATCAACGTAGAAGCTCTACCCCTGGACACATAGTAAGTACTCATAATTTCATGTTGAGGGAAGAAGAAAGCCAAAATGGAGACAAGATCCTCCTCTTCCTTGAATTGATTTCCTGTGTTTATGGTGTCCTATGTGTGTTCACGTAAAGAGGTGGTAGTATTGATTGGTCAGAGTCCTAGTGCAAAAAACCTCACTGACTCCCTCAGAGAAGACACAGAGTGGAGAAAGAGAAAAGTTGTTTGACTTCAGAGGACCTGGATGACAGGAATAAAAGCAATGATGAGAAAATTACATTTGTACTGGCTCCATGGAAGAGGCCCAGGCTGAGGCTCCAGCCAGTCCTGGATGTCTCACCTATCCCCTCTGGACTGCATTACATGTCCTGCAGTGTGCATGAGGCCTCTGAAGCCAGCATAGGCGACAGTGAGATGGCACAGGCCCAGCTCCATGACAGTGAGGGCAGCCATTTTGCTGACTGTGAGCTCTGAGGCACGGTGTAAGCAGCCAAATAGGAGCGGTCACTCCGCCAGAAGCCACTGGGGTCAGCCAGGGAGGCCAGGACAACCTGGCTCGTCTTCCATGGAACAGATGCCAGCAGAGACGTACAGCTCTGGAAGTCAAGCCTGAGGGTCTCGAACCACAGCTGCTCTGCCCAGGGTCTGCCCAAGGTCTGCCTAGAGTTCCGCCTAGAGTTCCCAGTTGGGCCTCCCCCATCTCCCGGGGAGCCCAGCTTGAGTGCTTGGGGCAGGTGGCTCTCCAAGCTCTTTTCATTCATTTCATACTGCTGTACCACCACAGTCCAGGTAAATGCTAAACAGTCGGAGTTTATTTGTCTCCCCCTTTTGACAGTTCAAGACCAAGGGGCAACATCTGGTGATCATAACAACAAAGAAGGCATCACATGGTGGTATGTGAAGGGAGACAGGGGAGAAAGGGGAAGGGAGAGAATAAGAGGGAGTCAAATTGAAACCCACTCTTGATAACTAACCCATTCCCACCATAACAACCTTAATCCATTCTAATCTGTGAGGACTTTGCCATCATGCCCTAATCATACCTGTAATGCCTGCTCTGAATACAGTGGTAATTACATTCCAGCATGAATTTTGGAAGGGCCATTCCAATCATGGCCCTAACTCTAGTGTGCTGATTTCTGTGTCGTGGGCTAACCCACTTTGTCGGACAGTGGAAGTCATGGACAGAGGAGGTTTTTATTTATTTATTGAAAAGGCATATTTATAGAGAGAAGGAGAGACAGAGAGAGCAAGATCTTCCATCTGCTGGTTCATCCCCCAAATGGCTGCTATGGCTAGAGCTGAACAGGTCCAAAGCCAGAAGCCAGAATTCCAAGGCTTTGGGTCATCTCCACTGCTTTTCAGGCCATAAGCAAGGAGCTGGATGGGAAGTGGAGCACAGTGAAACACACTGGCACCCATATGGGATCCTGGAGCTTTCAGGTAGAATATTAGCCAGTTGAGCCATAACACCTGCTCCCAGAAGGAGGTTAATTCCAATGTTTAGATTATGGGTTCTTGGGCTAGAGACTCCTTAGGATTTTCTTCTCTTACTGTTGATCCCTTCTAGTTAATCCAATTCAGTCATTCAAATCACTCAGCATCTACTGAAAAGGTGCTTCCTCTAAATGCCAGAGACGTTATAATACATAAGAAAGATCTAGGTTCTGCTCACATGGGGTTTGCAGCCCACAAAAGAGACACAGGGTAAGTATAGTGTTCATCATAAAAGGAGACACTTGGGGATCTATGGAAGAGAATTGATGAGAGATTAAATTATTTGAAAGGTTAGAGAAGGAGAGATCTTTCATCTGCTGGTTCTTTCTCCAAATGGCCAAAGCTTGGTTAGGACAAAGCCAGGAGCTTGGAACTCCACCCAAATCTCCCATGTGAGTGGCACAAACTCCAGTACTTGGGCCATGTTCTGCTACCATCTCATGTACATTAACGGGAAGCTGAATTGGAAGTGGAGTAGCCTTGATTCAAACTGGGACTCCAACATGCTGCACTACAATGCCTGCTGATGCTGAATACTATTCTATTATGGGCCTGGCACAGTGGCTCAACTGGCTAATCCTCCTTAAAACACTGGGATCCCATATGAACGCCGGTTCATGTCCCAGCTGCTCCACTTTCCATCTAGCTCCCTGCTTGTACCCTGGGAAAGCAGTGGAGGATGTCCTAAAGTCTTGGGACCCTGTGCCCGTGTGGGAGACATAAAGGAGGCCCCAGGCTCCTGGCTTCAGATTGGCTCAGTTCTGGCTGTTGTGGCCATGTGGGGAATGAACCAGTAGATGGAAAATCATTTTGTCTCCTCCTTTCTGTTAATCTGTCTTTCTAATAAAAATAAATAATTTTAAAAAGTTTTATCATAAGGATATACCAAACCTTGTTTATTCGTTCGCTCATTGATTGACATTTTGTGTTGAGTATTATAACTGTGAATATTCATATATAAGCATTAATTTGAGTATCTGTTTTCAACTCTCTTTGTTATACATATACTTAGGAATAAACTTGCTGAGTCATATGCTGAATCTGCATTTATTGAAAGACAGACAGATAAAGATATTCTGTCCAGTGGTTCACTCCCCCAAATGCACTCAACATCCAAGCATGGGACAGGCAAAAACCAGGAGCCTAAATCTCAACCTGGCACCCAAGTACTTGAGCCATCATCTGCTGCCTCCCAGGGTGTACATTTATGGAAAGCTTGGTTGGAAGTGGAGCATGGACTCAGATTCCAGGTACTCCAATATGGGATACTGGTGTGTTTAGCTTTTTAAGGAGCTACTGAGCAGTTATACACAGCTGCACTATTTAACAATCCCACTAGGAGGGATACAAGGGTTCCAGTGTCTCCACATTATTGCCAACACTTATTATTTTCCTTAATTATAGCTATTATAGTCAGAAGGAAGTGGTATCTCATTGTGGTTTTGATTTGCATATCCCTCATGGCCAACATTCTCAGCATCTTTTCATGTACTTATTGGTCGCTTGTATGCCTTCTTTGCAGAAATGTTTATTGGAGTCATTTGCCCATTTAAAAAACTGAGTTATTTTTCTTTTCTGTTGTTAAGTTCTAAGAGTTCTTTATATATTCTGAATATAAGAAGCTTACTGGACACTTGAATTGCAAAGAATAAACAAAATTTAATATGTCTTTTTTACTTTCTCTGTAGTGCTCTTTAACACACATATGTTTTTCATTTTGATGAAGTTCAATTTACCTGTTTTTCTTTTGTTGCTTGTGGTTTTGGTGCTATATATAAGATTACATTGCCAAATTCAAAGGTGTGAAGATTTACCCTTACATTTTCTCCTAGGAGCTTTAGAGTTTTCCCTCTTATATCAGACCTTTGTTTCATAACAAGTTCAAATTTTTGACTTGCTTTTTTGTTTGAAGCCAGTAAATGTATTGCATAACAAGAGGAACCTAATGTAGAACCAGAGCAGGGCTGGTACGGAGGAAGTGGCTCTCCTGCCTGTGCAGGGACCCAGCAGAATCAATAGAACTCCAAGGGTTTCCTGTGGCCAGGGATGCTGATGGGTCATCCATGAATCTCTAATCAGAGAATCCTAACATAGATGCCCAGAAGTTTTTTTTTAAATTGCAGCTACACTTTCTTACATAAATAGCTTATTCATACTTTGAAAAGGCAGCTCCTGGGCTTGGCCCTGGTCTGGGAAGTCAAGTGGATATATAACCACCCATTTATTAGAAAGGGGTCTTCAAAGGTACTCATGAGCAGCCAGGGGGAAGAGGTAGCAAAGGCAAGGCATGTGGGGAGGTACATGGTGCACCCATGTCCTGCCCAGGATATCAGCCTCCAGGCAGCTATCCAGAAGCTCTTCAGTGAGTTAATTTTTATATATAGTGTGAAGAATTTCAATTATTTTTCCCTTTGGAAAAGGGAAAAAAAAGTTTTCAGTTGTCTCAGTACATTTTCTTACAGAGGCTGTTGTTTCCCTATTGAATAGTCTTACGACCCTTGTCAAAAAATCATGTGTGAAGTCTCAAATCTATTAAAATATTTTGTATTTCAAAATTATTTTTATTTATTTGAAAGGCAGGGTGACAGGTTGAGAGAAAGAGAATCCATCCACTGGTTCTTTCCTAAGCATTCACCACAGTGAGGACTGGAAGAGATGCAGGAGAAGATCCAGAATTCCATCCAGTTCACCCACATACTTGAGCTGTCATGTGCCGCTTCCCAGGGTAAACATCAACGGAAAGCTGGATAGGAAGCAGAGCTGGGACTTCATACCAGGCACCCTGGTGTGGGATGTGGGCATCCCACACAGCAATCTGACACACTGCGACACAATGTCTGCCCTTGGACTTAGCCTCTTTCCTTTAAGTACTTCTATTTTTATATCAACATCATATTATTCTGATTCCTGTAATTGTATCATAAGTTTTGAAATCAAGAAAAGTGAGTCCTCCAGTTTTATTCTTAAAGATTGTTTTGACTCTTTACTGTCCCCTAAAATTCCACATGAATTTTAGGATCACCTTTTCTGTTTTTTGTTTTTTTTTTTTTAATGTGTCAAATATTTCTGAAGGTAGGGCCCAGGAATCTTTTTTTTTTTAAGATTTATTTATTATTTTTATTAGATACATGGAGAGGAGGAGAAACAGAGAGGAAGATCTTCCGTCCACTGATTCACTCCCCAAATGCTTACAACAGCTGGAGCTGAGCCAGTCCAAAGCCAGGAGCATTTTCCAAATCTCCCACATGGATGCAGGGACCCAAGGCTTTGGGCCATCCTCCACTGCTTTCCCAGGCAACAAGCAGGGAACTAGATGGGCAGTGGAGCAGCTGGGAGAAGAACTGGTGCCCACATGGGATTCTGGTGTGTGCAAGGTAAGGACTAGGTTACTGCGCCAGGCCGGGATCTCAGTTCTGTTTGCTTTGTGTTAGGGGGACTGTTTATTAAATAGTAAGCAGACCCTTTATATAGCTGCTTCTAATCTGGCCTCCTGCTAAGGTGCCTGGGGACACAGCAGAAGATGGCCAAAATGCTTGGACTCCTGCACCCACATGTAAGACCCAGATAAAGCTCCTGGCTCTGGACTTCAGCCTGGCCTAGTCCTGGCCATTGCAGCCATTTGGATAGTGAGCTAGTGGTTGGAAGACCTCTCTCTGTGTCTCTACCTCTCTCTCTGTAACTCTGCCTTTCAAATAAATAAACAAATCTTAAAAATATAGAGTTTTTATGTCTCTCATTCAGTTTCTATTTCCCTGAATGTTATCATCTTACATTACTACAGCACTTTGTTAAAACGGAGTCTGCTTTGTAAGAATGTAATAAGTATACGTGTGTGCATGTGCATGCACACACATATACACACACAGTGATTTTTTCCAAACATTCAAGCTTGATAGCTGCTGATATAAGGGTTTGGAAAGTACTTCTAGGGAAATATATCTCAACTGTTACTTGAAAGATCAGTATAAATGAGTAAAGGGAAGGAGGTGTGATCTAGGCATAAGGGAACAAGCTGTGCCAAGACCTGGGGATAATGAAAAACTTGGAGCATTTGAGGTTAATCGTAATAATGGTAATTGATCGACTCTTACCACATACCAAGCACTGGTAAGCACCTCAGAACATTATTTCACTTAATTTTTCACCACCTTTAAACTCCGGGAGATATTATCACTCCTGTTTTATAGAAGAGACAACTGAGAATCCAAAGAAGTAACTTTCCCAAGCCACCCAACTGTAAATGGACACAAAATATTTGCACTCAGGTCTTTTTCCTGGTTGATTTTTTTTCCTCTTCTAGGCCCCAGTAATGTATATTCACCTGCTTGAAGGGAGAAGCAAAGCTTTAAGTTCCTGGATTTCTGCCTCCCTGATCCACCCTCCCCACTCTCCTTTCCAGGCGACTCATTTTTCAGGCTCAAAGAGGCCTTCTCATTCCAAAGCTGTTCCTTGCTGTTGACCTCTCTCATAGGACTGGCAGTTAGATGAATGAATGAGTAGAAATAAGTAGCATTAGCAACAATTTCTGGCCATGTGTTCATTCATGTGTTTGTTTGTTTAATGCCTGTCTTTCTCCCTGTAATGTTAAACCCAGGAAGACAAGAATCTATTTCATGCCTATTGGTGGGCTTACGAAGTAGGGGAAAATGAAAAAAGATAGGAACCCGATAAATGCCTTTCAGATGTTGAATGAATATTTTTTGTGTTGTGAAAGAAGAAAATCAGAGAACTGCAGAATATCACTCCAAGGTGTATCCACCATGCATTCTCTCTCCTCCAGCAAAACCTTCAGCCTCACTGTCATGCTCACAGAAACTCCAGCATTTTCTGATTCCATGGAAAGAGATACCTTATCTGACCTATCTAAGAAACTTCTCTCTGACTGTTGAGAGGGTCAAGTCCAGAGATGGGGCTGGGAAGCCTCTCCTGAAGAATACCATCAGGAAGGAAGCAGAACAGCATCCTATCACCTGTGGAAGCCCACTGCCTGCAAGGAAGGAAGGAAGGCTTTTCCTGTTCTGGAATTCTGCCTTTGGGTGCAGCACTAGAGAGCTAGCAGAGTATCCAGGCTGCAGGGGAAGGCATGACTGCTCTTCCTTCCCCCAGGTCCCTCAGTGTTCTATTAGCTTTGTGTCAATACTGTCAGCAGCTGGGATGAATGATTGGAGCTCATTCTCTGCGAGGAGTTGCACATACTGCATGGAATGGAGGTGAATGTGAGCCTATGATTTGTTTGTCTTGTTGCAGTCAGTACATTTTCAGTCTATTGTTAATAAAGAAACTCAGCCCTGACAGCTGATTAATCTCAACCTTTGCCTCTCACATGAGTAGTGGAAATTGGCATAGTGGACAGCATCAAGCACATGAAGTGGCAGGGAAAGAAACACAGACATGCACATGGCTGGCTCCAGACTCACAGGGGGTTTTAGTCACCACAATTTATACTATGTTCCACAAACACCTGTTCATGTGTATTGAAGCACACACTGTCATTACACACACATATACATCCAGAGTCATCATAAAGGTACACTCACCAGGGAGGGGCCCAGGAACAATGGATGGACACTGACAATATTTTAAAGAATGAGTTTCTTGTCTGTCATGGTGGTGTATGCATTTAAGCCTCCATCTATGATGCAGGATTACCAGTTTGAACCGTAGCTGCTGTTTCCAATCCAGATCCCTGCCAACATGCTTTGGGAAAGCAGCAGAAGATGGCTCAAGTTCTTGGGCCTCTGCTTCCCATGTGAGAGACCCAGATGGCGTTCTGGGCTTCCTGGATTCAGCCTGGCCTAGTCCTCCTCTTTTCGGCTTTTGTAGGAGTGTTTGTGGGAGTGAACCAGGGGCAGGAAGATCTGTGTGTGTGTGGCGGGGGTGGGGGAAGGGGGAGGGGGGGGTGTTGGTATGTGTGTGTCCATCTATGTCATTCTGATTTGCAAATAAATAAATCTTTAAAAATTATTTTCTGTACAAATTTTGGAGCCTTCTCCTTCACCCTCCTCCACACTAATGCAGCTGTAGAAGTGTTAAGCAGTCTTCTCCTGCCACTGGATGGATGATCAGAATGTTTGAGGTCAAGGACAGGAACCCCATTGCTGGAGGCACCTATGCACGTGGAAAACAATCTTCCATCTCTCCCACCCCCACAGGCTGGCATATTCCTGAATTTCAAGATGCTTCTTCTGCTTGGCCCAGATGCTAAAACTATTAATTATAGCTCTGCATTTATCCATGCACACCTGCACTGACATTCACAGTCCCAAACATTCATTCACACTCCTACACACACACACTCACACTCCACACCCAGAGTCAGGCTTCCTAGCTGCGAGATTTGATTTGAAAGCTGATAAGAAAGCCTTCTGATGCTATTAGCTGGGCCACACGTTTCTCAAAAACTCCCACCATTAAATATTTATCCTTTTGGGAGTCCCCAGTTAAGAATCAAATACTAGTCCAAGCACCACACCATAACGTTATCATCTAACATTTTGGCAGGAGCTTACTTCTGCCCAGGGAACTTCCTCTCCTCTGCTGGCCAACTCTTACTCCTTCCTCAGGTCGGGGTTGGTCTTTCCTACCCATCTACCCCTAACTGACGAGGGAGGGTAAGACATAACTCTGTCATTTTGCTTGGATGCACCTATTATAACTCATGAAATGATGGTTTGCATGGCTGTGTTTGTATATTTTGTGGCTCCATGGAGGGCTCTTCCTTATACCCCAGTGCTGGTTCGGTACCTGACATGGAGTAGATGTGCAACAAAACTGAAAGCAAGTGGAGGCTTTGGGGAAAGGAGAGCCGAGAAGGAGGGAAAGGGATGCAGAAGGTCAGGTGTTGAGTCCTGAGGATCACCAGTGTGTTCCTCCCTCACCCACCAGGATATATGAGTCACCTTTCTGTGTTCTACAGTGAAACACTTGAGAGACACTCATTTCATAAAGTTAAAAGGTTCCAGGGCAATAATGAGACATGTGCTGAGGTCAGTGGAAGGCAGGGCGAAGCCCATGTGGAGAAGGAAGCCCAGGGTGAACCCAGAAGCTTGCCCATCCCAGGGGGGGGTGGGCCAGCCTCTTGGGAGAACCACCTTCCTGGGGCACCCTCCTCATGCCCTGAGGACACCACACTAGAACCACCTCCCAGCACCATAAGTGGATTTACTTTCTGCCCTCCCAGAACCATGATCAGATGACCTTGTGGTTTAAGCATCTCCATGAGTTATGGAGCTCAGTCTTGTCCAATTCCTAGCATAAGATAATGGCCTGGGGTGGACAAGGTACCCAGAGCACCCATACAGGAGCAGCATTAAGTTAAAAGTAATTTAAAAAATGGGCCTGGCACAGTAGACTGGTGGCTAAAGTCCTCACCTTGGACATGCTAGGATCCCATATGAATGCTGGTTCATATCCCGACACCTCTACTTCCCATCCAGCTCCCTGCCTGTGACCTGGGAAAGCAGTAGAATATGGCCCAAAGCTTTGGGACCCTGCACTCTCATGGAAGACCCAGAAGAGGCTCTGGGCTCTTGGCTTCGAATCAGCTCAGCTTTGGCTGTTGCGGTCACTTGGGGAGTGAAACATTGAATAGAAGATCTTCCTTTCTGTCTCTCCTCCTGTCCATATATCTGTCTAATAAAAATAAAATAAATATTTTTAAAAAGAAGAATTATTCTTTGTTCTGCTAGGTGTGGTTGTACATGCCTATAGTCCCAGCTACTCAGGATGCTGAGGCCAGAGCATTGCTTGAGTCCAGGAGTTCTGAGCTGTAGTGCGCCATGCCGATCGGGTGTCAGCACTAAGTTCAGCATCAATATGGTGACCTCTTGGCAGTGGGAGACTACATGGTTGCGTAAGGAGGGGTGAACTGGCCCAGGTCAGAAATAGAGCAGGTCAAAACTCGTGTGCTAATCAGAATTCATTGCTCTGGGGCGTGGAGCAATGGATCAATTAGTTAATCCTCCACCTTCAAGCACCAGAATCTCATATGGTTTGTGTCCCAGCTGTTCCATTTCCCCTTCAGTTCCCTGCTTATGGCCTGGGAAAGCAATGGAGGATAGCCCAAAGCCTTGGGAACCTGCACCTGTGTAGGAGACCTGGAAGAATTTCCTGGCTCCTGACTTCATATTGGCTCAGTTATGGCCATTTAGTCATTTGGGGAGTAAGCCAGCAGATGGAATATCTGTGTCTCTTTCTCTCAATAAAATCTGATCTGCTTTTCCAATAAAAATAAGTAAATAATTTTTTAAAATGTATGAAAATAAGGTCATTAGAATAAGGAAGTGAGGAGGAAGCCAGGACACTGATCTGAGGAAAAACTTTGAACTACCAGGATGTGTTATCTTTCTTCCTGGGAGAAGTTACCAGATCCTCCATACTCAGGAGCTACACTGGTGCCATTTAATGAACCTGGGGCTTATCTGGGATCTTGGAAGTGACTGCTATTCCCTTCTCTTAGAACTACTAACTCACGGCTTCTGTCTCCTGGAGTTAGAGGAGAGGAGAAACGTCAAAACATCTGGAATTTCAAATGGATACAGGTAGACACATCTCTAAGGCACTAGATCTTGATGATCTCTGCAAAGTCACCCTTGGGCTCTTGGTACCCCGTTACAAAGATGGGGGCCAGCACTGAGGCACAGAGTTAAGTCACTGCCATTTCAGGATCCCCTACCAGAGCACAGGTGCCAAGTCCCAGCTTCTCCCTTTTCCAGTCTAGCTCCCTGTTGATATATCTGGGAGAGCACCAAGGGACAGGCTAAGTGCTTGGGGTCCTGCACCCTCTTGGGGAACCTGGAGGGAGATTTGGCTCCTGGCTTTGACCCAGAACAACCCTGGTTGGGTAGCCATTTCAGGAATGAACCAATGGGTGTCCATCTTCCGATCTCTTTTTGTATCCCTCAATCTCTATTGTTGTGCCTTTCAAAATAAACATAATAAATCTTTAGAAAAAAAAGGCCCACTTTGAGTCTTTTCCTTCTGTAATTTCTCTTCTCCCAGGGTCACCCCTGGGAGCTCACTTCAGAATAATAGTCTTGAGGTGACAAGTGAGTCACACAAGGCCACATAAAACAGAAGTAGCCAGTGAGAGAGAAGTGGCCTTGTGGGGACCTTGCTTGCTTGGGACCACACACAGAGCTGTGGGTTACCATGTACAGTGCCTTGCAAAAAAGGAGAGCTTCACTTTTTTGACCCTGGGTCATGGTCTCTTCCATTCTCTCTCTCTCCCAATGCACCAGTGTTATCTTCATCACTCCAGTGATGCTGTGAGTCTGACCTCCATAGCTCCAAATTAAATCTGGAATCACTTTGAGACTACACAGTCCCAGACTCATGCCATTACACTTGGTCTGATGCACACACCTTCCGGCTCCTCTTTTCAACCTGCATTGATCCTGGTGTCATCTCCTCTAGCCTGTGGACTCTTAAGGAGCAAGGTCCGAGTTAGCGTTGAAGGTGGTCAATTAGCATGCAACCTGTCTTTCTACTTCCCTATAATGTGCTACTGGGACTTGAAGG